TTTTAATCGAAGTAGTTCCAGAAACATGCATATTAAGTTATACAGGGTGCATAGGAAAGTCCCTTTAACCGGAAAATTCTTGCGAATGGAGAGAGCTACAGCTATGCAAGTGAGGTAACGGTATAGTAAAGCAATACTGCCCGACCTAATGCAAATGACAGCAGCGTCCCTAGTGGCAAAATTTAGAAGATAGGCAGTGCAAATTGAAAATGAAAACAGATAGAGCAAACTTTCCAATTAGAAAGTTTTAGAGCATCAATTAATTAGTACAAAATGACATGTGGTTCACACAGATAAGATAAATTGTCGCCTGTATACCCAAAAATGTCCAAAAGCGATGCACACCATTTTGAGTAAACATTTGAAAGAAATAGCCATAGGTATGAAGAAATATGCACAATTTATTGCATAAAATACATATTTACGAGGGTCGTCCCAGAAGTACCCAACCTGACATATAAATCACGGTACTTGTTTGAAAAAAACGACTGTGTTCGAAAGTATCGACCTTATAAAGCTTAAGTTTGAAGATACTATGTTGTTTAGTATTTTTTTGCCAGCCATCAATAGTGAACAATGTCAGTGAATTTGTAAACATGGAAAAAATTGGCCATCGTTATGTGATACAATACTTTCATTTGAAAGGTTTCAGTCCAACCAATATTAAAGTTGAGCTAGATTCTACTCTGGGGGAGTCTGCTCTCTCATTTACAACAATAAAAATATTGGGTGGCAGAGCTTAAACAAGGCCATACGAGCTGCCAAGACGAATATCGCAGTGGATGACCAAGTGAGGTGACCATGCCAGAAATGGTGAAAAAAATCCACCAAATGGTATTGGATGACCATCAACTCAAAGTGTGAGAGCTAGCAGACACGGTATGCATTTCAAAAAGTGCTGTACATCGCATTTTGACTGAAAATTTGGACATGAGAAAGCTGTGTGCCGCATTTGCTCACAACGAGACAAAAACAGCGTCATGAGGATGTTTCAATTGAGTGATTGGCAATGTTTCGCCACAAAAAAGCCGAGTTTTTGGGTCAATTCTTAACCATGGATGAATTGTAAGTCCATCACTTCACATCTGAGATGAAAGAACAGTCGAAACAATGGACTGAAAGAGGAGAATCAGCTCCAAAGAAGCAAAAACAGTTCCATCTGCTGGCAAGGTCATGGTGTGTTTTTTGGGATGCGTGTGGGATAATTTTCATTGATTATCTTTAAAAAGGAAAAAGAATCGACAGTGAGTGTTATGTGAACTTATTGCAGTGCTTGAGGATGAAATCAAGAAAAACGGCCACATTTGGTGAAAAAGAAAGTGTTGTTTCATCAAGACAATGCACCAGTTCACACATCCATTATTGCGATGACCAAAATCAATGAGTTAAGGTTCAAATTGCTTCCTCACGCACCCTATTCGCCAGATTTAGCCCACTTGGATTATTTTCTCTTTCCAAATTTGAAAAAATGGCTTGATAGTAAAAGATTTGCCAACAATGAAGAGGTGGAGTCTGCAGTTGATGGCTATTTTGAGAAGCTTGACAGTTCTCACTATAAACAGGGAATCAAAACTATTGAACAGCGATGGGAAAAGTGTATTGTGCTAAAAGGAGACTATGTTGAAAAATAAAGATGTGTTTTCCCAAATTTTTTGTGTCTTTTTTGTTAGGTCGGGTACTTTCTTGATTAGTTTGGGTACAATCAATAGATTGAAAACGTTTTGTGTTATTAATAAATCTCTCAGCGAGTGATCAGGTGTTGATTAAGTTATTATTTTCTGCTGAGTATGCTTCGGTTGTTTATAGATTTATTAATACATTATATAACTCATTATTCATAATGAATCATAAAAATATGTATTTTTTTTTTTATAAGTTTAAATGCATTTTTTGCCAAAGTAACATCAGTCTAATTTTTAGCCTAAAAGCCACCATGTTAACTGTTTTTACTTTTGTTAAGATTGTATAGGCATGTTGAGATGACTAATAACAAAAGTTCAGTTATTGAAACTAAAAACAAAATATAGATTGCAGAACAATGTGTCATATTTCATTGAACTTCTGTTATATGATCCTGACAGTAATGTGGTATCATCATATTTGCTAGCTTAATAATAGAGTGTAGAATAGATCCCTGGTCTAGTTTCAAAGTTTTGAGTCACAGAACAAGTTCTTTCCTTCTAAGTATTGTCCTCTTCCCTCAGTCAGTTTAGTCCAACTTCTTCACCTGAACCAACTATGACTGATATTGATGGATTGCTTTCTATAGTTGTTCATGTTCAATCTCAATAATATCATTAGTTGTTTCTCCTTGGCAATTATTTTAAATTTATATTTTTGAAAAATGTCTTGGAATTTCTTTATCTCCTAACTGAGAAAACTGTACTTGAATGCACTCAATCACTCAGATAGCTGAATGGTGTATGGTGGTCATGGTATTTACAAGTGTACCTTTGTACAGTACAATAAGATGTTTCTCAACTTCATTCTGATTTCCAGAATTTTCTGCCAGCTTGACCAATGCTAAGTATTGACTGGCCCGTATGTGTCCATTATTGATTGTTATGTTCATATGATACAACTAAATAGTTCCGTGTTCTGTCCACTTATCTGCTAATAATGACAAAAACTTACAAAAAATTTACTATCCATGTTTGATATTCTTATTTTTAATGACTGTAAACCAAATAAAAGCATTAAAGTACAACTAATTACTACACTATACTCTCAATTATCTGGTACCCTGTATTCTCCCTAGTGTAACTGATTTTAGTACTTCCATTACCATGAAAGTGTTTGTCATGTCACATATCCTGTTTTCCTGTTTACTTGGGTTTGATTTCTTGGATGGATAAATTGTACAGCACATTAGCCTGCTGTATATTTTCCCACCTGCCATCAAAAGTAATCAGTAACAAAGGACAACATATCATACCATTCATTGCTTTTAGGCTTAGACATTCTCAATAATCCAGCACTCTCATTAATCTGGCACCCTTCTGTGCAAGAAATGGCCAGATAAGCAAGATCCAGTGTATTTAGGCTGTTCATTATGTAACTAATTATACCACATAATGAGTTTTACAATCTAATTTGGTTTTACTTTTAATTTGTTTTTTATTATTTTAGAAATTTCTTGGAGCATCGGTCTTATAGTGACCTACTTATGCTTCTGATCACAGCTATTTATCTATTTATTTTGCCAGGTCACAATAGTAAATCCTACTTTATTAAATTAATAAAGCATATACACAGTGACTGCAATATTCCATCTACTAAGTAGCAAGCACTATTATTACATTAATGATGTTAGATTAACTATTCTGACATTTATTAATGACATCTATATCCAATTATTTAGTTTTGTTACAATACATATATAGCATAAATCCTTAAAAATTCTCTTTGCTTATCATTTCTCTTCTACTACAATATTGTTTTAGTGCTACATTTCCTTGATTCTAAGATACACTTTAGAAAATTCATTTTTATTTTTCTGAAATAGAGATATGTCTAACAAACACTGGAATCTTACATTTACAGTCCAAAACAACAATCAATAGTCATTGTGAACACATCATGTGATGCATATTACACCAGTACAACCAAAACCATTTATTAAATGTCAGTCACATCAATTTAAATGAGTTTTGCTGGCAATGAGAGTGTAATTTAATTTCCTTTTTAACATTAAAAAAAACATCCAAGATGACATTATGATGCAACTAAAAAAAAATGAGAACATACTGTACACAAAAGAGCCTGAAAATGAACATTATCTATTTCATAGCATCTGTATTGTTATTTAACAAAACTTTTCGAAAACAAAACTTATGAAAGAAATTTTTTCTTTTGTAAAAAATCCTAAAAAATTTGATTGTAGAATCAAAGTGCATTATAGAATCAAAGAAATACAGTATATTATTTCTTTTATTTCCCCATTAAAGTGTTATTTAATGCTGCTTAAATCAAATTATCAAAAGATCTAATTATTAACATACAAAAACAAGTTGTTTAAAAGAATTATATTTTCTGTTTTAAATAGATCAATGTCAATTTATACCATGAAGAATATATTCTTCATGAAAGCTTCTATAAATATAAAACTACTAATAAATAAAATATATTTTTTATAAGCATATGATTTCTTATGATATAATATCTGTTTATGTTCTTTACATAAACAGATATTATTAATTATATATGATAGAAATAACTAATTCTATTTAATTCTAATTATTAAACTTTCACAATATATAACTCAGCTTTGAAAATTCGCCACCATATTTATATAAAAATTTACCTTGTCCCCAGTCAACTATTTTGTCTGACAGTGATCAATCATACTGCATTTTAAGGTATTATAGAACAAAATGGTTTAAAACAGATATGATAGGGAACCACATATGAAATGTATTTGGAAATAATTTTATTTTATAATAAAACTTGCTTTAAAATGAAATTTTATATTATGATTCTTTGTTTTTAATACGGTTTATAATTAAAATGTAGAAAATTCAAAAAGAAAAACTAATTTCTGGAATTTTCATTTAAGGAAAAAGAAGCTATTTATCATTTATATTATTCTGAGAAATAACAAGCAAGCTTACTTTTAAAGAATAAACATAAACCCCAACTATGTTTTTATACAGATTCTTTTTACTCAATTTTGATCTAAAATGGTCTGGAAAAAATTTAATTCTCTTTTTACACAATTTGTTTTGATCAATAATTGTTTTTTTTTTTCAAACCCCTATTTAATTTTAACTCTAAGAAAGGAAATTCACACTTCTTTTTCTAGAAAATTGCTGTTTTTAAGAAAACTTTTACAATATGCATTTAAGGCTGCTTCACACATTCAAATAATTTTAAAATTTGGCATTTTTTTACAACTTATTTGAATGTGTGTAGCAACAGCCAGTCTTTTGTTCCAACTTTATCCTGCAGTTGAAGCAGTTAGAATATGCAAATTTCTAATTATTTATAGAAATATTACTTACTTCTGATATACGCATATATATACCCCTGCTATTTTGACCAATATCAAAATAAAAGTTTTTATTTTCTACACGCATGTGGCGACCTTCTGGCAATTCGCCTTTAAATCCTAAAAATAAAAAAATTGTTTATTGTAAAACTTTAAAACAGTAATAAAATAATTTTTATTTTGGAGACAAACTAATTTTACTAGATATTTATTTCATAAATATATAAAGCAAATACTCTTGTTTTCAAATATAATTAAAAACAAAATTTAATGTTCAATTATGAAAATGTAGAAAACTTATCATCATAACTGATATAAATACACAGTAAATGCCCAGATTCTGATAAACAACAAATATTTATTTATTAAGGAAAGTTTATGGTTTCATATAAACTCATCTTCAGTCTGCAAATAAAAATAGAACACGGAACAAATTGTTTCCCATTCTATTTTTCTATGTTTAATATATTCAAAAAAACCTATACAAAACAGAAACTTGCCTAAATGGAAAATAAATCTCAGAATGGAAATACTTTCTATGTATAATACTATTATAAACTGGAAATTTGTCTAATGCAGAAGAGTTTTGAGTATATAGCAATTAAATCATAATTAAAATATGTTCCACGAGTACTGAATTTTTATATAGATTTTTTATTTCTGTATATTTTCATTTTAGTGTTTTCAGCACAGCTTTAAAATTTGAAGTGCTTAAATTGAAGAAGAAATAATTATAATTGCCTTACAGTCCTTATAATTTATTTTTAGTTGTCTACTTGGACATTACTCATTAACAGGACTTCTCATTATTGTGTCAATTTTTAAACACCAGTGTAAAGTCCTATTAATGAGTAATGTCCAAGTAGACAATTAAAAATAAATGAAAAAGAAATAGTTCTAAATATGATATATAACAACATTTTTTCAACTTTTTTCTTTTTCTGTATTAATAAAAACAAAATATCTGTCAAAATGGAAAATTTTGGCTGGTATTGTCACATTTGTTTTAGACAGAGTTTTACTATATTTAAAATACACTCAATTGACAAAAAGTTATGCACCAAGAAGGAAGCATTGAAATTGCATTAAAATTTATTAGTGTAAATGTAATGATCATGGTAATAAGTGATTACAATATTATATCAATATCAAGAGATAAGTTCCACTGTAATAATGATACAATTTAAAGAAATTTTTAGTACCTTGTAGGCAGGGCCGCCGTAAGCGGGCATGCAAGGCGTGCACCGCACGCGGGCGGCACGTCCAGGGGGCGGCAAAGAGCCTTTCTGGCAAGCTCAGCATAGGTAATCGTAGTTAAACAGGGGGTGGCATAATCGGTATTGCACACGGGCGTTCAAACAGCTAGCAGCGCCCCTGCTTGTAGGATCACCTCTTGCCTGGATACATAAAGCAATATGTTCAGACTTGAAGGCATACAGGCACTTATATTATCTGTGACAGATTTACCCACAGATGTTACAAATGTTGCCACAGATCCATCACACTCACAGATGATTAAAGTTGGTGTCCCATATGGTCCTCAAAAGTTCAATGGGTAACATATCTGGAGATTGGGCAGATCAAGAAAGTGTGGCAATGTGACAAAGACATTCCTGGGAAATCCTAGATGTGTGCAGCCAAGCATTATCTTGATGGAAAATGACTATTTGCAACTATGCTACAAAATGGAACAAGAGGTTACAGAATTTCCTGAACTTACTGATGTGCTGTCAATATTGTTTTTACCACTAAGAGTATCCAACTGTCATACAAGATGACTCTCCAGACTAGCATGCCAGCAGGTGCAGTGTGTTGCTCAACAATAAATACAGGATTGAAGTACTCACCAGTGATCTTCCAAACACTAAGATGTGGTCATCCATTCATAAACAAAATTGGGATTCACTGCTAAAGACAATATTCTTCCAGACTATGCATGCTTCTCTGTCACAGTACAACTGGAAATAATGCCAATGATGTTGAAGTGCTAATCAGGGACAGATTGAGGCTACAGAGACTTAAGCCCTCATCATTCATTAAAATTGAAGTTCAAACAAAAAAAATTAAAATTTATTTGTTTGAAATTCAAAACATTGTTTTTAAAAACCATGATGGCAAATATAGTTTTTCAGACTAATTCAATACAATTCTTTTGTGCATGTTAATAAAAAGATACTTATTAATTATTAAAATGTTTAAAATTTTTTAGGTAGTCCTTTCTTTGAGTTCTAGATCCATCACTGATGCTAATAGCAGGGGGGACAGCAACTGCTATATATGTAAATTTGCATCTGCTAGTCATTTGTCAATGGTAGAGGAAGATATAAAGTTTGTAGCAAGAGAAAAACTATCTGTTTCTGGATGGGTGATAAAGATGCCATTGCAGCTGCTGCTGTTGTCATGATCAAACAATTACCTATTTTTGTGCTCTGTCTGGTATGCCCAGAGTTTATCTGCCATGTATGCATGTCCTTGCATGTTAACTACCCCCAACATCATCTCAAAGTCAGGTCAGAATGGTCCAGATGACAAGCAATTCAACAAAAAAGTCAAATATATGATTGTGGCATTATATGTGAGTAATAATAATGATTAATGAGAAAAATTCTATTAACACAAAGTTTATGTTAACATCATCAACAGTTTTTCTCATAAATAATAGCAAAAAAGTCACCCTGCTTCTCTCAGATCAATAATGCAGTATTTCTCAAACTCTGTCAGTTGTGTGTAATGCCTTTGACCGTGTCAAACAGACATGTCTCCCATTCAAAGATCTGCAAACAACAGGTACATTAAAAATTCTGAATATAGTGAGCCACTTTTCGTAGTAAACTGGGGTAACAATTTAAAGGTATTCAGTGGCATTATCAGGTGTGCAATCAGACCATACTGTACTACTCATTTACATAACTGTCTGATGTATGCTGTATGTAGGCTTACCAGACATCCTGTTTTGACAATGTTGTCCCAGTATCCTGGCCAGTTTGTCATTTTGTCCTGGTTATTTGGTAGAATTTTAAAAGTGTCAAATATACAAGAAGTAAAAATAGTGCAGCCTCGAGTAAAATGGTGATTTGGCAACTAAATAATCCCCTCTGTTATACTCACTGTTGCCAATCTAAATATTTCATATCCAGATCTAAGTACTTTTAATGCTGTCTACATGTTTCCCCCGAAAATTTATAGCATATGGCCTAATGAATTTAGATGTTTTATTTCTTCATTCAGATATTTTTTCACATAATTTATAATAGCATGTAGCCTACAAGATCCAGATATTTTTATTTCATTTTTTAGATATTTTGTTTCAATTAGAGTTGGCAACACTGAAACTTACACTGTCCATTCATTGCTGAACATGTCATATCTTAGTTGAGTTCAAATTGCTAGTTGGCATTTGCAATTATTTCGTACTGTACATTTTAATCTCTGAAATGCCAAAAAGAAACCATGTGCTTATTGATGATTGAAAAAAGTCTGATCATATTGACAAAGTGAAATATGAACTGTGCTTTTCAGAATTTTCAGTAACTCATGATGGGTGTTTAAACATTAAAAATCACTTTAAATAATATAAGGCAAGCAACAGGAACTTCCTCAAGTATATTGTCATATTTTAAATATACTGATTTAAGTGACAAAGAATTTTTAAAGAAAGTTCACATTAGTGATAAATATTAATAACTTCTTAATAATAAGATACATTTATTTAAGTTACTAAAAATTGCTTTTAACTCGCTGTTTTTGTTAACAGCTTCTTTATTTAGCCTTTTCAATCACAGGTACTTTCCTAATAAGCTTTATTTTCTGTTGTGAGTATTTTCTCAAAATTGTCTTGGTTTGAAATAAAAATATTATGATAAGCCTAGCTATATGCCAAGTTTTGCAGTAATTAGACAATTCTATCTGGGTGCTTAACTCTTTTGTCAGTGAATGCATTTAATGAAACAATTTTTAAATTAATCAAATTTTACAAATGCACTGAAGTCAAGTGGAATTATTATTAGACACAGATATATAGAATAGATCTTTACTCCATAAATAGGTATTCCAGAGCACTTTTGTGCTTACTTACTGATGATCTTTGTAATAGTAAAACAATTGTAATTTAAATGAAATTTTTCAATATTTTGATTCTGTTTTTGTCTGTCTTCCAATATTTTGACTTGTTGAACTGTAGACCTATAAATTAAATTCTCATTGTCATCCATCTCTCTGTCCTTTCTTAATCTCAAGAATGGAGTTAGATGAAAGTTGAGACCAGATATGGAAAGCTTAAGACAGGAGGTCCCAATTAACTATATACAAACTTCCAGTTTGCATCAGAAGTCATATTATTTCAATTCAAAAAGTTTTCCCTAAAAGAAGTTAAGATAGATAGATGACCAGCATGACTCTATTGCTAGCAGGAAAGTATGTACAGATTAAAGACATTAATAATTTGAAGTGGAGAGCATATATTTTAAATTAAATAAATTAAAAATATGATTAAAAATTGCAGCCCAGCTTTGTGATGATTTCACAATAAATAATTATTTTATTGATTTATGTTCCACATTCTACAAGATTATCTACACTGCTGTAGCATTCTGTCCATGGAAGCTATGGAAAAACCACTTCCCTTGTATTTTCTAAAATATAAATACATAGTGTGCAAATATTTTTCTATTTTAACATACTTTGAATTACTTAAAATTAATATTTTATTATAACTGCATTATGTATTTTATTACAAATTTCTATACATGTGAAAAACAATGATAAGATTGCTATTGTATATTTGAATATAAATTTGTATATGCATAATCTTATTTCGTCCATTAGTGCATATCTATCGTATATGCATATTTCCAATGGAAGCGCTGTATTGTCAAATATGATATAGCTTCCACGGTGAAAATATTTGAATCGTGTAAAGCAGCCATATTATATACATTTGCACATGCGCTTTACAGAGCATCAACCTCACATGGTTTAGCACATGGATATTACACACCAAAATATTGTATAACACTTCCAATGATTAGGTTTGTGTATAATTTTTTTGGAAACAGAGCTTCCCTATTGTCAAATGTCACCACACACCATTGCTACATTGCAAGTTTTTAAACTATCACTTA